AATAAATTGAAAAAAATAAAATGATTTCGAAATTGATTAATAAAAATATAAAATATTTATATTTATAAAAAAATTTATAAAAATATATTCATAAATTAAAAAAAAGTTTTGGACATTATATTATATTATATGTAATTGCAAAAAAATTTTAAGCTTTGAAATAAACAATTTGTAACAAAAATCTGGCAATTTTTTGAATATATATTTTGTATCATTTTTTGACACATAATATTTTTAATACATTGAATACACGAAAAAAAATATATATGTACATTTAGATAAGTTCCAATAGATATATATAAAAAAATAAAAAAATTAAAAGAAAATTAAATTAAAATAAAAATTTATGGAAAAATGAAGAAAAAAAAAATAATTTTATCGACGAAAAACTAAAATTTAAAGGAAATCTGAATTGAAATATGTTTCCTTTTGAAAATAAAAATTTTACCTCCACCGCATTATCATGCTAGAAGAGCGTTTTTTTCTCGATCAAGCTTATCGTTGATTTCTCAAAAGCTACGAACAATACCTTCGAAAATAGTTTGTATGCGATTTCGTGTCACTTGAAGCATCACGAGTAACAGTGGCAAGGCTTCATATTTTTTTTTGCAGATTAATCGAATATCGAAGAGGAAACAAAAGCAACGTCAAGCAATTAACTTAGCACGACTATGCATGTTTTTTGCATCCATTCTCTTGAACTTGATCTTTACTAATTTTTGATGGCAAACAAATATGTTCATCATTGTTTTCCATTATATATTTTTTTCCTTTTTCTTTCTCCGCAAATCACATTTTAATGAAATTACAGAAAAGCTAATTCCTCTTTGATTATGATAATTACTAAATATAGAAATTAATATATTATAGAAACTAACTTTTTTCTATATATATAACTGATAATGGGTTTTAAAAATATTTGAAAAAAAATACTATTATTATATTATAATACTATTATTATTATATAATAACATATATTATATTATATTATATAATATTATATAATACTATTATTATTAGAATTTTATCTATATGTATGCGTCCATGACAACAACCATAAATATGCAACCGTCATTTATTTTTTGTTAATATAAATACATCACACTAACAGACAATACATACAATAATGAATTATACATACAACAATGAATTAATCAAAAAATTATTTCTTCATGAATTGTGATATATTTGAATTATATAACCCCAATTTATATCGAAAATATAAGAACATTCTCACATTATTGTTAATATTTATTTTTCAACCTGCGAAAAAAAATATGAAAATAAAATATAAACAATCGAAATGATAATGACAAAATGGTAATAGTGATATTAATATTTAATATTTATTGTTATAACATTACTGTAATTTCGGTTATAAGTAAAAATTAATTAATATAGTTAAAAATTGTTTTATTTTTTAACATTGTATCGATTGCTAAATGTAGTGATATTAACTCATTATTTTCTGGATACGCCGAATATTTATTTAAACAATTGATAAGTAGCAATCGCCCGTTGATTTATATATATAAGTAAAATTTTATATATAACAATTTCTTTTTATAATTATTTTGAAAACCAAAAACGGTTATATATATAGGAAAAAGTTATTTTGGAATTTTGTTTTCTATAATATTTGAAAATCATTGAAATATAGTTTTACAACTTTACCTTTATTCTTGCTATGTAAAACGTAATTTATAGTTTAAATTAAAAATGGTATAATAATTAAATAGTTAAATTAAAAACTTCTCCATAGATTCGAATTCAATCGCATACATATTATCCTTATGCATCTATAATGAATTTCATCTATGTGTTATTCACTATTATTCATAAAAGTTTTTGGAAGAAAAAAAAATTCATTTAGTTTTTTACAATATTTTATTTTATTATTTAACTGTTTACAATATACATTTATTGTTTACAAATATATAATAAATTATTAAAATATTCTATAATAAATTATAGAATATAGAACAAGAGATCTAGATAAAAAATTTTGAAACGTTATCTCCTTGAAAATATTAGAGATACAATTTGTTTATTAATATTAAGGTTAATATATGTAAATATATTTATGCATGCATGCTAATTTTTTTGAAGAAATGAAATATCGTTTCATTTAAACTGGAAATTGTCATTCATTGTTTGCTTTCTGAGAAAAAAGAACTTATAAGTTTTCTCCTATAGTTAATTTCGATTATAATACTTGTATATATAGTTGTTATCCATCAATCTTAATCTATTCTTTCCTTTATCTGACATTCTAATGCGTTTCTTATCGTGTAGTCCTTCCGAGACCTCTTCTATGCTTAATACAATGCCAAGGGTGTGCTTCACCCACTTCGCATTGATTATACAGGTTTGGAGAATCGATAAATCGAAGGTTAAATACATATAACACGTGTGTTCAGAATAATAACATCAGTGTCGCATGAAGTTCCTAAAATTGTTAATCTTTAACAAAATGTAAGCAAAGGTCTCTATCTAAAAAGACCCTTCTATTCTTTCCACTAAAAAGTTATTTTGCATTTGATTGACAGTTCAATCAACATTCTGTCTCTTTGAAAATAATGATAAAGGATATCTATATAGATTTTTCAGAAAAAAATGACATTAACTAACGAAGTTAGTTACGCGGTTCTTTTTTACCGCTATAACGATTGTTGCGTCACTTGTTAGAATGACCGTGGCTTGTAAAACTTCGAGGAAAAAAGTTGATTTAATCGGTATGTTGTCGGTGTAATCAGTTGTATGTGAGTCAGAAAAGAACGCTCATAGTAAAAGTGTCCGACTTAAGAATGCCATAACGAGCGAAACATGACATAGGAATGCAATTGATCACAGTTGATTCTTTCAAAAAACTTTTTTTTTATCGAGTTTACACAAAATATATTATATAAATATTATTATATATTATATTTTGATATATAAATTAAAAGATGAAAATAAGGTTATCTCTCTCATATTCTAAGTTTATGTAAAAAAATCAGTAAACTGACGATTAAGTAGGTCGATATCTAATGTACATATACACATACAAGTGGATCGTGTCAAGGATGCGAAGTTGATTCGAGAATCGATAATTATTTTCTCATTCGCTTTTACGATCCATCAGGATCTTATGGCTAGCTGCATAGG